AAGTACGTTTAATTTTCATATTCATTGATAAAATTGCAAGAGAAGAGAAAGCAGATATTTGATATCTCTCAAAAGTTTATCAGTGAAGGTTGTCAAACAGTTGGTATTGATATATATATTATATTAATAGTAAAAAATTATTATTAATACTAATTTTTTGGTTTTAATTTCAAGAATAGTTTTAGCTATACAAAATTGCATAAATCAAATGGTACAAACAACGGGACCTTCAAATGTTCGTACACCTTTCAAAAGTCTCCCAGGATATGCCATAACAAGCAATGGATTATTGATCGCATCAGATGGACGAGCAATGCCGCCTACAATCTACAATTGCTTTGGTATACCAAGGCAACCATTAGTTTCAATGAATCCAAATCAAGAAGAAGACAATAATTTATGCGCAATATGTGGTGATAAAGCTTCAGGGAATCATTACAGTGTACCAAGCTGTGAAGGATGCAAAGTATAAATTTTAAGGCGTTTAAGACATGCCTATAAGCTTATCCTCACTTACTTGAAATTGATGGGAAATATTCCGGAATGATATAACTAATTGATGCCATCAAATATTTCAGCTCAAAATGATGAAATTTTAGGGTTTCTTCCGAAGAACTATCCAGAAGAAAATAGAATATATATGCTACAAACAAGGCAATTGTATAATAGATCAGAAAAATCGGAATAGATGTCAAAGTTGTCGATTTAAAAAATGCCTTCAGTTAGGCATGCGTCAAGAATCGGTACGTTTGGATCGCAATCGACGACGGAAAAAAGATGAAAACAGGTAAATGTTAATGTCACATATCATAGAATAGATGATATTTTATTACACGACAAATATTTTAGTTGAGAAAATATCTCATAATTTTTAGAGACAAAGAAATGGAGGAGATCGAAGAAATGAAAAAGTTAAAAGCTATTGTTGTTAGTGCCTATCGTGAAGCATTCCCAACGGGGTTAGTCATCGATAACCGAAGCGAAGCTGTAGAAAGGATCCATATATTTCTGAATAATATCCCGATGATGAATGAAATTAATGGGAAAGATCGGGAAAAAGTCATTGAAAATTGCGTTTATGCAGCGCTGGTAAATTCTCGCTCTTTTCGCTTCTCATGTTTGATAATTTTGAAAATTTCCACTTCTATTTGGAAACTAATTCACTGAATAAATTTTCCAAAACCTACCACTAACAAATTTATATAGACTGATGAGAAGTTTGATATACATATTTTATTTTCTTTTTGTAGACTTTGCGCACTTTTTTCACAACCGAAAACTACGAAGCGATTGTGAGCGTTAAAAGCGAAGCATTAGCTCAGTGCTTGAATGGATTGGGATTTGAAGTTAAGGAGGAAGAGATGGCAATTCTGACAGCATTTTGTGCATTGCAAAATTGCATTGGAATGGTTGATAATGAGAAAATTCAAAATGTAAGATTTTATTTCTTTTTGAAGTTTGGCTTATGTAAGATAAATTTCGATTATTGTTTACAGATTGGTGCCAAGTTGTGTAACTGCCTTCGAATTCATTTGACAGGTTTTTGCGAAGCAGTAAACGAAATTATTTGCAAATGCATCATGAGTGTAACGGCGTTGATGTTAATGCAGACTAATACTTAACTAAATATCTAAGCGATCCAAAGTTATTTGGACGAAATATTTTGTTCTATTTTACTACTATTTCAGGCAGTTATTTTACTAATCATATCTTAGATTGATTACATTGCCCTACATTCCTTGTGATTGAAGTATTGAATTTGAATAAAGCTAATGTACTTACTAATATTTAATCAGTACGGTAGCAAACGTTGAAGTATGATGGAAGGCATTGTTTGTAATTGAAAAATATATATCAATTTGTTCGTAGACAATAATTAAATAATATTAGACTTATTTGAAGTATTAAGTATCTACTTGCTTATTGTATGTGATTGGGTGTATGTTTGCATATTTTAAGTGTTGTCCATAGACAATAATTATAGCATAATATTAGCCTTATTTTAAGTATTAAGTATCAATTTTTATATGTATTTTAATTTTAATAGACTTTCTTATTCTATTTTAAATGTGTTTTAATTTTGACAGAGTTTCTTATTTTATGTAATTTTTAATTTCACATAATCTCTTCCCCTTTTATTTCATTTTACTTTTTTTTTTTTTGGTCTGTGATAAATGTTGTGATGATTTATTAGCCTTATTTATAATATTAGAATTATGTAATTTCTATTTGCTTATTCTAATATTTAACATACATAAGGACTGAGAAGGATTAGTACAAATTGAAAATCGATGCTATTGTTATTTGAACTGAATTGACAAATGATTTAATTTTATCAATGAAATTATAACGTAGACTGAAAAAGTCTTTTAAAGATAAATAAATTAATGTTAACTTTGAAATAATCGATTGATAATTAAAAACAAAAAAAAAAAAAAAAAAAAAAAAAAAACGAATTCATTGGAAATGTTTGAAGCAACGGAAGTTCATAACATTTTGCAAAAATGTCGTTGAAGGCCGAATTAAAACAAAAATGTTGCTATTGATGTTTGAAATTGGACAGAAATTGTTATTTCTGTACAGTAAGCGATATTATTTGCACTAAATACATTTGACTTGAATATTCTACACGGCTAATGAGAAATTTATTTTTATGTGAAATAGATGAAAGCCGTTAAATTCCATAAAATACTACTATGCTCATTAATTTACTTGAATTTAATATCCTGCCTTTACTGTGGTATATTACCTTTTCAAAAGCAAATAATTTTGAATTCTTATTCCTATTTTGAATTTTAACGCATTTGACTACTACCTACGAATTATTGCATAAGAGCGATTCCAAGGCACCGTATTCACCGGAATATCTTACAGCGATTCGAATTACTGTTGCTGAATAAGTTGCATATTTTGAATTTAATGAAATAAAAAGAAACACTATTATTGCTGTATTATTGAATAAAACTACAGAAATCGAATTTTTTCAGAGCATAACCAAAATTCGTATGGTTGCTACTGAATTTCATCTTTAAGGTTTGTTAGAGATTTGTTGACTGGACTTGAAATATAAAAAATATCTCTTCGATAGAAATCGATCTCCATGACCTACCTGAGGTGAAAACAATCCAATCGCAAGACTCCACCTACAGGTACCACAGGTGCTGCTCTCATCAACCTTATGTAGTCAGTCATAAGATACACTGAAGGTTGTTGTTGAGTTGCAGTTCCTCTTCTATTTATTTCTTCAATGTTTCCTTCACCAAGTTATTTCCTCTCCAGTTGCTTCAGTTGCTTAATGAAAAGTAATAAAATGGATTTAATTGAAATTATTTTACTATTCGTTAATTTGAAATTATTTCAGAAACACTTTTATTTTAGTACATCTGCGACTTTTCATAACGAAAGATACGGTAATTTAAAATGCCCTTTGATGAAATCATTCAGTATTGTAATTGTGCTTTAGTCATTTTTTATAATTTTCAGAACATAACAAATAACCTCGATTATTCAACATATCTGTTGTTTTAAATTTAATGAAATATGTCATCAAAACTTCACCCTTGTGTTAATATAAATACAACTGGTAGAATATGCTTTCAGTGTAATGAAGAATCTCCTAATTTTTGTCATCAAAGCCGCAAATTTGTCATTTCGTCAATTTTTTTTTTTTTCTAGTTAAATAAAATTCTCTTAAATGTTTGATTACTAATGTCAGTTTTCGTGTTCATTGCAAGCTGGGAGTATAAATGACAACAAAATTTGCATGCATTGCAAAAAGTTGTTGTGAAGTAATAACTAAACAAAATCAAATAACTACATGTTAATCTAACTTCAGAGAACATTTCATAGACTTTAACAGAAACATAGTTAGCTTTCTGCAAATATAATTTTTATTATTTAGTTGCATCAGCAATTTGTATCATGTTGTCGCTTATCATAATGTTGATTTATCGAAATGACTTCAATATTTCAAAAAACATTGTAAAGCATGAACATTTGACATTCTACAAAGTTTTAATTATTTGAAAGATGCAATTTATTCAGCGTTATATATGTATTACGTAAAATTGTTTGCAATAAATTGATCACACTGCCTACTATTAATATTTATCAACCTCTCAAATTTATATTTGTTCATTACTTTTTTCGTTTCATTTAAGTCAATTAAATTTAATTGAAATTCATTAATCTAATTTTAATGACCAAATCTAGATACACGCATTTATGGCTAGGACGAAATCGTATGTGTTTATTGCTACGTCTACATTGAAATGCAACGATCCATAGCTAAGACTGGATTACACGTATTCATGATTTATGGGTACGTCTGCATTGAAACTCTTTATACGCAGAATTTATCCAATTTATAAAAATGAATTGAGTTCTTCGGAGTTGGTATTATTTCTGATCAGTTTTATTTTCACCACAATTACATTACAAACGTATGTGTGTATACAGACAGTCCATATGCGCTTTATTGTAAAGTTTTGATGTAATATTTCTCTCGTCTACAGATATTTTTCCTCGACGAATCTGAGATTTTCAGGTTAGCATCAAAAGTGAGTGGTGATAACAATCAATGTAAACCCTCTTTGCTTAATAAAGCAAATTTTAAAGCCGATGGTATAAACCGGAAAAAGGTGTGTGAAATGAAACAAATATCCCAAACGCTATATGCACAGGAAGAGAAAGAGAGATATGAAGAGGGCTTACAAAATATCCATTTGATCCCCTTTTGTTATTTTGCCATTTATATTTTCATTAACTTGATGATTGTTCAGATATTCAAATTATAGGATCCTCCCATTCATCACATAACACTTCGTTATTGACCAATGGTCTTCCGTATCAAAAAAAAATCTTTGTGAGGTCCACTCCCACAATTTACAACGCTTAGTTCAATTCTCTTTTCAAAAACAACATTTTTGAAAATTGTTTGTTGCTGCTCGCTGTGCACAATAACTTCTCGTCGATAAAAGTGCCCAAAAAGCTGATCGAATATGTCAGAACAATTTGACTGGGAGGATTTTTTTCTATCCCAGCATTTGGATCATTCTGTTTCCTATGGAACATCGAATGCCGCCACCATCAATGATACGAGTAACAGCGGAATGGAGGAATTTCGATTGCCTATTTCATCTGCAACTTATTATGATAACTTATCTTCTGATACAACCCAATCATCATATATTGATATTTCAAATAATCATTTGGAAGACTTTGATCGGATGAGGCCGACAATTACACCGTTGCAACACAGTTCATCAACATTTATTCAGAATTCAACGGATGACTTCGCGCCACTTTCTACTGCCGATAGCAGTTCAAATAGTGCTGCAAATCTCGATGTCATCTTCAATATTCCTGCTTCAGTTTCAATGTCATCTGATGTCACAGATACTCATACTTCTACTGCAATGCCACTTATAGATGCACTAATTTTGCCTAATTCGCAGCAAATTGTGTTAAGCAATGACACAATAGGATGCCAAGCAGCAGTAATAGAGAATACAGTGGACAGAACTATTGTGAATCCACTGTTGACATCTTCCAGTGCTTCGGTAGAATATCGATATTTGAAACGACCAAATGATAGTGGAAGTCAATCGTTGGAACATTGCAACGAATTGGATGTAAAACGATCAACAAGGAATGAAATGTTTGAAACCAATTTCAATGAACAACACTTATCATCAAAGCCATCGGTTTCATATCCAACAAATCAGATGTCAGAATTTTCACCATATGTTGATGAAATGTCTAACAATATGCACTCAGGTGAAACGTCAACCAATAATGCTCCTTCATATGGCTCGAAATTTCATCTCTGTAATATGATTCAGCCATTCCCAGTTACCGATTCTCTTGTGACAATATCAGTAAGCTTTTTTTTGTGAGATTAAATAAGTCTAATTGGTTTTGTGTAATCAGAAAATAGCATAATGCCGTAAATATTTAATGAACAAAACAAATACAATCATTTCAGGAAACCAATCAAGAGGACGAAGGAAAAGTATTTCAAGAACTGAAATCGTATTCAGATCCCAGCTCCTCTGCTGCAACAAGCAATACTGAGCAACAAATAACATATACTATGCCTGCTGGATTTCACGAACAACAATTATCACGACAATTAGTTTTGAATTTTAACATTCCCATGAACAGAAATCATTTAGTGAATAGACGGCATCAAGTTTTACCTGCTACATCTCAGCTTAGTCCATCACTACATAAGAAGAAGGATGATCGTGAAAGCCGCAAAAATTCTTTGATGTATTCAAATGAAGAAAATAGTAATTTATGCGCTGTATGTGGCGATAAAGCTTCGGGGAATCATTACGGTGTATTAAGTTGTGAAGGATGCAAAGCGAAAATATTTCAATTACAAAAAGTTAAAAAAAGACGACAAAACCATGAATATCAGTACAAGGGATTATCGGACAGTTAGTTCCCTATGCTTACTTGTTGTTACGAAAATTTTAAAAGAAGCTGAAGAACATTTGTTTTAAAAACAGGTCATGCAATCATTTGAATGAAATGTTTTCAAGAGATCTCTCAGGGCCTAAACCGTTATTTTTAATAATAACCATTAATTTTAGATAATAGCCATTATTTTTAAATAATAACCATTACTTTTAAAAAACAATAAAGCTAACAAAGACTAAACATCTTTACCAGCTCATCGAAAGAAAAACCAATTTAGACATATTAAATTAAATTTCAAAATATTGTCTACTGTCGTAGAATTTATTGCAGAAGTAATTGGAAAGTCGAAGGATCTATGCGTTGTTTGTGGTGATATTGCATCCGGTAATCACTATAAGGTGTTAACCTGTGAAGGATGTAAGGTATGATATTTCGAAGTGTCAAACTGTGATAAAAATGGAAAATAGCCTATAGGTGACCGTAAGATACCCGAAATTACTTCCAGTGTAATGAAATATAATGAAATGTTAGAAAAGAATTTATTAAGATGAATTTAAATTTGCTCTGTACAGTATTTTTAATTTTTCTTAAAGTCTCATCTCAGTATAACATCATTCATAAGCTGTCGATGTTCATCTTAAGTTTAATTAGCGAATCAAAAATGAGCGCCTAAAATTATCAACAACAGATTTCAGTATAACGGTTTGGCATTATATTAAATTTTACAATGAGACGGAGAGCTGAACTACTCCGAGCGTTTGTAAAATTTTTGAATCGTTTATCAGAAAAAAACTGATTATTTACACACATTTATTTATATTTGCAGAGTTTCTTTCGACGAAGTATACAGAAGAAAGCAAAATACCATTGTGTTAGGAGTGGCAATTGTCCAATAACGGCAAAGGATAGAAATAAGTGTCAGAAATGTCGCTTGGATAAATGTTTAAAGATGGGAATGGATGTAAATTCTGTGACTATGAAGCAATAAATATAGGTACACATTCTTATCAAAAATTTTCCCTCTTTTTTCTTTCTAAGCAATTAACATTTTCAAAATTCACTTTTTAATTTGGGAAAAATTATGAATTTTAAAAATCATCATGAAATCTATCCAGTTACTGTACTTTAATGAGAAATATAATTCCACACCAAAAATTTTAAGAAATGGTAAAGTATAAACTCAAAAGTCTGGAGTGATAAACAAATTCCAAAAAGCGATCGATTTAACAAACAGACCGTTGAAAATCTTAAGCCCGCACATTGACCTGCCAAAATTAAAGTACGAATTAAGTGTCGAAATCTGGATGAAATCAAAACGCTCATTAAATTCCAAAACGCAATCAATTCAATAAATCGATCGCAGAAAATAACGTTTGAGCCTCACGTGTTCACCAATAAAAGAAGGTACAATGATAAAATGCGAATTAAGTGTGGAAGCTTGGAGGAAATCACAATGCTACTTGATAAAGGGATTCAAAGAGGCAACCACTTCAGCAGATGGATCGCACAATTTCTGCAGTTCGTATCACAAATTCAAGAAGTGAAAGCAGTTGACCAATTCATATTTTCTAAAAATATTTTTCTCGCTATTTACAATTTCTATTCATTTTTTTCTTGATTTCGATAAAGTTTTCACTCCTATTAAAGTTTTTCACACTTTATCTGCGAAGAAGTTTACTGCATCGATTTATATTACCTTCCTTCTCCATTTCTTCTGGGAGTTCAATTTTTTTTTTAAATCAAAAAGAAAATGAATCCATTATCCAAATGAATCACTTGCAACTATTTATCACTCAAAATACCTTCATCATACGGCTTATATTCCATCTTTGAATTTACCAATCATCAGATTTACCAATTATCCCCACAAATATTTGACACTTGCCTTATCTGAGAGTTGGTCAAAACAAAGTGTAAAATTATTCATAACTTTGATACGCTGGAATATATTAAGAAGGAATAAATAATGTTTGAGTGAATCTTTCCTACGAAACTGAAAAAAACTGTATTCGTTACTAATAGTCCTACAAAATTTATTAACATATATGCAAGCCACGCTGCATGTATTTCCTTTTGCTTTCCGTTGCGAACTATTTAATGGATAAAGCTAGCGACATGCTTCATTGTTATTGCTATTTATGTGAAAAGTTTCCAGTAGAAATTCTAATAAATCTATCGGTCGATCTCAGATCACATAATGACATAGCATAGCAGTAAGGGAGATCATTTCTAGGTATGGACAGATTAAAAGCTGAAATTGATGCTTTTGTAGGTAAGTAATAATCAACTAGATTAACTGGTATCACAACAAACATATATGCTTCCAGATATTATTGCAAAAAATCAGCAACACACAATTAATCGACCAAGATGATGCAGTGAAATAGGAAAAAGGAGGAAAGAAAATGTCTGTTGGTGGGAAAGTTGCAGTAGAAGTGTTAAACATATAATGACTCTAATTTCAGTACGGGAATGTATTCGACGTTTAATTCTTTGGGGATTGTCCCATTCGTAATTTTCAATATTCAATCTGGTCGTCTTCTGGAACGAACTTTGCATCCTTTATTTTCTTTGACCTAAAACAATCAATATTCATATATGTATATATATTTAAATGAACTTGAAATCTCAACTGATGGTATTTGTTAAAAAAGGGATATTATGCAAGAAAATTCGTTTGACTTTGAAGAGGCAGAGAATTTTAATAGATTATCATACTTCGTTTTACTTTTTTCCCAACTGCAAGGGCAGCGTTTAATCGTTGTTGCATACGCTGTAGATTGTAACTGCGTCTGATGTCTGACAGGTTCGGATTTATTAATTCACCAGGTATTTGCTGCCTGTGAGGCAGGTGTAATCCTTCCATAGGGTTGGCTGAAATGAAAAGATGTCCAGAATTTCGCATTTGGATAAGCAAATTAAAAGACAAATGTTTTAGTTTTTTATTTTCTAAACAGATATTTAAAATTTGGTTTTTGAACTGGATTAGTACCCACGTAATCAAAATTTATTAATTCGGAGGTAAAATCAATCCACATAAACAAACAACAGAAACAAAAATCTGTAATTGAACTAAAATCGGAGCACACGATCACTTCATTCCGGAAATGTTAATTTTTTAGGAATTTGAAACGATTAAGAAAAAAGAAATTATTGACGATTATTGATTGCACTAGGACCATTGGATTGCTATTTCTCTCTCTCTCTCTCTCTTTCCCTCCTTCCTCTTCTGCTCTTAATCCTTTATTTAATCAATTAATTCATTTTTTAGGTTTTCAGACAATTTTTTTCTTCAAGCAATCGGCTCAAACGAGTAACTTCAACGTTTCTTCGCTACCGTTACTTCATAAACATGTGGAAAATAGTTATTTCAATTAAGAAAAAGTAAGATAAACCAACTTCGTTGCAACGATGTCGTTGGTAACTGCTGATCGATCTGAAATTGAAAATATTTTTAATATCAATTTAGCATTGCAACATTGTTCCTAGAATCGGCCTGAAATCTTCGACTATTATTATTTCAATTTGAAAATTTAAATCGTCATTGATTTTATTGATTTGAAATTTAAATAAAATAAAATTACGCTAACAATAATAACGTTAACGCTTAAGAGTATCAGTTAGGTGTATAACAAGTTGATAAAATCCATTGTAATATCTGAGAGTTCAAATGAAATACAAAGAGAAACTTCCAGTGATTGAGGTATTTCTCAGCTCATTTTGGTCGATTAATATTAAATTATTAAATTGAACAATTTTCCTCACCATTTCTTCAGCTAAATTTATCATTAATTTTGCATCAGCGTTCCTGCAGAAATCTTCCTCTATTCGGGATATTTTTGTGGGTAATTTATTGAAATTGGGATCCAGTACAGAACTAGTGCTTCTTGTTGGCTTCACCCATTTGGAAATCGATTGAAAGCGAGATGGTGATACGGGATTTTCTAGATTACCAGCTTGTGATAAATTTGGTGTAATATTTTCTCGTTCTTCAACTGTTTTCAGTGAATTCCATTGCTTTCGGTATTTCAAGTAATTATGTGTCATCAAATCGACCGCATCTGGTAGTGATGGCGGTGGCATATTTAAAGAAGAAGCAATCGCTCTAGCTTCTTCCCAAGCATCTTGTGCTAATCTAGCATAATGTGTTGCTTGATCATGTAACAGTCGAATTTTATGAATAAATGATAAATTCTGCTGAAATTCATCGGTTCCTTGCAAAGATTTTGTAGAAGGCAATGATAACGACTGAGTTTCTGTTTTTTCATGTAAATTAGAAGATAATGGTTGAAGATTTAAAAGAAAAAGAATTGTTTATATATTGAGAAGTTTCTATAATTACTATTCCGTGCTTATGAATCACTATCGTTATTGGATGACAGTGTAATTACAACATTGCCATTGTTGATTTATTGCGCATGTTAGATGGATTAGCATTATAGGATTCTTCAGTATTGCCGCTCATTGGTATTTGATTATTCGTATTCTGGCAGAAAGTAGGAAAATTTGTTCTCTGAGTACATTGTTTTCACTTATGATAGCAACGCGGTATGGAATACTACTCCTTAAGTTAATGACTGTATCGATTTAAAGAAAACTTCAAGAATGGACGTGAATAAAGCTATTAAGGATGTGATTCCATAAATTATTGATAGTGACAGGAGTCGTTGTAAAATGTATTTGAATGCTCTTGCAAAATTATGCTTCTATAAGATTGAAACGAATTATTGCAGTAAATTAATTCTCAGATGAAGTGCTGAAAGCAAATGATTAAATATAATAAATAGAGCAGGAATGAATATGGAAATGTAGAGAGATTATAGTACTTTTTTTTTAAAAATTTGCTTAATGCATCTTTCTTCATTGAAACGATATAAACGTGCATCGAGTTCTGGAATGCTATTTTTAAGATTTATTTAATGGTCAGATTATTAGCACTTCTGCTTAAGAATTTTGTCTTCGTAAATCAGCAAGTATTATAACGCTTTTCAAATTGTTTAAAATAAGTCGTAGTTTATGGTCAGCATAATATAAATTCCTGATCCCATTAAATTAGCTATTAGTAATTATATCAGCATAAAATTAACTGCTTTATTTTTAATGTTTATGAAAAGCTTCCTGAAACTAGACTAACGTACAATTAGTCCTTGATAGGAACTTTTTAGTGTATGCATATGTATGCAAATTTTATTGTTATTTACACTTGTAGCTTTGAATGGGCACGACATCACTGATCAAACATTTAAGTGAAAAAGAAAAATTGCTGAAATAACGAATTCGTAGCCTTGATGTTCTTCACTATTGATAGTACTTCAAGTACAATCCAGCTGTTCGATGACATATTTCATTAAATTTAAAACAACAGATATGTTGAATAATCGAGGTTATTTGTTATGTTCTGAAAATTATAAAAAATGACCAAAGCACAATTACAATACTGAATGATTTCATCAAAGGGCATTTTAAATTACCGTATCTTTCGTTATGAAAAGTCGCAGATGTACTAAAATAAAAGTGTTTCTGAAATAATTTCAAATTAACGAATAGTAAAATAATTTCAATTAAATCCATTTTATTACTTTTCATTAAGCAACTGAAGCAACTGGAGAGGAAATAACTTGGTGAAGGAAACATTGAAGAAATAAATAGAAGAGGAACTGCAACTCAACAACAACCTTCAGTGTATCTTATGACTGACTACATAAGGTTGATGAGAGCAGCACCTGTGGTACCTGTAGGTGGAGTCTTGCGATTGGATTGTTTTCACCTCAGGTAGGTCATGGAGATCGATTTCTATCGAAGAGATATTTTTTATATTTCAAGTCCAGTCAACAAATCTCTAACAAACCTTAAAGATGAAATTCAGTAGCAACCATACGAATTTTGGTTATGCTCTGAAAAAATTTGTTGAAGAGCAACCAATATGGTTTCTGTAGTTTTATTATATTGGAATCGCTCTTTTTGTTTATCTGTAGCAGTTTATTTTCTTATCATTTCTCTTTATCAGTTAAAACAAATACTACCCATAACATCCAATGTTACTGATTGAAGGTGAAACTCATCGTACTACATACATTTATCAATAATGTTGTTGCCATATCATCATTATCATATCACACAATTATGTCCTTTTATTGGCTGATTTCACTAGCATCGCTGCCGTTTAACTTAAATGAGCAATTTTATTAAATATGAAAGAGTATAAAACTGAAATGAAGTAAAATTCAAAAATGCCTTAAAAAATAATGAAACTGTCCTTTAACTTTGTCAAACTCAAGAAAATATATGTTTATGTGTTTATATATATAATAAATATATCTTTATATATATAATAAAATATAACATTCATTCTCTAAGTGAACACTCAATCAGCGGATTTCATGTACAGAAATATATTTAGTAGGAATAAAATAAAACAAAATATTTCGTTAAAATAATTTTGAACTACTCGGATAGATAAATTTTAGTTTGAATTAAGTAATTGCATTGAACGATAAGAGGTGTGACGTAATATGATGTGATGGTGAACTTGACCTGAGGGTAGTAGGTAAATTATGAAAAAAATACCTGTAAACAACATAGATGCAGAGGGCATCCATTGCTAATATTCTCCAATATGAGGGACAAATGAACGATGGATATGTCCGAGGGAAAAGCAAATTTCCTTTTATTGAAAACAATTGTTCTTTGGATTGAAATATTTAAGGTATTGCACAAGTTGAACGAGTTCAAAAGTCAACTTGTCAATGTGTTAATTTTTAGAATATGTTGGCTTATGTTCATTCGGTTTGTTTTTCGTAGGTAAGTCTGTTTCTTAAGTAGCCACCACAAAAACCATTGAAAAACTTTTATTCATCAATTTAATGGATACTTATTCAAACTATACAAAAATATATTTTCAACAGATTATCTTCTAACGAAAAAAGATCTTTAGAGAAAACGGACAATATTTCAGTCAAGATGGAGAGAGAGGGAGAGGGAGAGTAAATTTCAGGTAGCTCAGAAGAGAGAACAGAAGCATCGGGTAGGAAGTGTTAGCTGACGCAACAATTATTATTTCTATTCTCTCTGAGTTGCACTGACTTTGCTTACCGTATTGCTGTGCAATAGTGGTGCAATGACCACTGGACAAATTTGACCTGATGTCCGACCATCTAACTAACTATAACGCCTTACCTCTCATTACAAGCAAATCCTCAACATCACACAAAAAATTGTTCAATGCCTTTCTTGATTCTTTTCTCTCTTTCTCTCTCTCTCTCCCCCATATTTTTCACAATGTTTAAATGTAGAAATTTTTTAAATACATGAATACAACACGATCTCGAGATTCACGGTAAACAATAGCAAACATTATCACTACCACTACCCAATATGCATATTCGATGGTTGAAATTGCAAAATGACAAGGTAACAATTCGCTCTTGAACAATATGATTTCTACTCCATGTTATTCCGATTTTAACTTCTTCTTTCTTGAAGTAAATTTTTGAGCCTAATTTCAAAATTCCACAAATAATTGCAGTGCTTCTTATTTCCTCTCTTCAGATCAGTGTGTTTGATATGTAAGCGAAAGAGATGTATGAGACAAATGTTGTTTACAGCTTAGGTCACAATGACGTCACCTCACTGTCATGTCATCAACAGGTAGACTTCCCGCCGATTCCATTCACATCTGCTTCTAAATAATTTGATAGTGAAAAAGATCTGCTAAGGTGAAGAGGAGAGTATGATGTCTTGTATTATAATGATGGTAAGGTACAAATGAACTTATGCAAAAGTGTATCGGAATGTGACATAAGTATTTAACGTTCTCGACCTATCCATTTTACCCTACATTCATTCCATCACACTTCTCACCTCACCAATTCTTTAATTTATCAGACATGAAAATTCCATAAGGATAAAATTTATTTTAGGAACATTTTGATCGATAAACATTTTACTACTTACTACTTCATCTGCATATCTATGCTTCAGATAAAGGAAAGTATCATTAACTGTCTCAGTCCTGCTAAATCGATAACAAAGTATCATTAACTGTCTCACAGTCCTGCTAAATCAATAATTATTTCTCTGTGAATCCTTCCAGTGCTTCTTTTAACTTTTTTCTCCAGCAAAAGAGTATACAAAAGACAAACAACTTCAGAGGGATAGTATAACGCAAGAATTCATTAATGAGTGAAAAAACAAACTTCTTCCTTTTTCGATGTATTCTGAACTACAACTTAAAATAAAATTAGATCAATTATATTCATTTAAAGCTTACTTAAATCTTGAATCAAAAGGACTATGGAAGAAATCATTTGCGGAGAAAACATAAAATCAAAAACTGTATTACAAATTTTGTAAAAAAAGAAGCCTTCAGCATGCCTTATTCTACATGTGAAATAACTCTTTGTAATATTTGTCCGTCTGCTGTGCTACATTAGCAAAAATGCATAATAAACTTAATATTAATTACGATTAGCAGTGAAAAACAATTAATCAACATCAATATTTCAAATAAAAGACATATTTTAAAATAAAATAAATAAATTACCTATTTAACAATATTATAACATTTCCATATGTCATCAGAATTTTAGGAAGACGTAAACAGTATACGTACAATATTCCATTACGTATAATCTTCAAAACAAATGTTGAACTATAGAACTTCATTGTGCTACATCAAATCCTTATTTACTTTATTCGTTTTTTTGCAAAATCTCCATAACCAAAACCATCATTCTAGAAAATTATTAAATTTTCTCTTCCTGCAAGTCATTGCACTGAACGATAAGAGGTGAGGTGATCTATCGAGGTTGTATCACACCTTGTATCACACCAATTTGTACTAAATGAAGGCAAAACGATAAATTAAAAATATATTTTTAATGAGTATAAAAGATAAAGCTTACTATCTTCAACTTTGCAATAATAACATAGCACACGTCTACTCTATCGAGACGAGCATCAACTTTATTTATCGATGACAAACAAATATCTGATCAATCAATGAGCAAATAATTGACGAACTTTTATTAGCTTTGATGAAAACATCAAAAGATAATATCTATTTGATAATTTTATGCATTATTTAGAGCTCCTTACAACGATACTTCTGACAAACATCTATGAATGATTAGCCGATGAGCCTTAAATGAAGTTGAAAATTATTACAATTTAAAAATGGAAAGAAAAGAAAAGAGAAGGATTCTTTCAATTATTATTTATCTTTTATTTTGTAATACCATGATCATTACACTACTCTGAACTCTTATTTTCATTTTAAAATTGGACTACATTAAGTTTTATTCATTAGTGATCTCATTATTAGTTAAAATCCCATATATAGTCTATCATGCTTTCATTAACAACTAAGTATAAAATGAACGACCAACACTTATAAATTTTTCACACCTGTATTAGCAATCAGAATTTTTGCATTTCGAAATTCAACGCCTCAAGTAATTCAAATGTCCTTTGTAAAAATATTCCCCGAATATTGATCAATACGATTAGCTTTTAAATCATTTGGTAATACTGTCAAATATCACTCCGAAACTGTGTTTGTCATAAACCATACTGATCATAAATCAACGCTATCCAACATCTTTACAACCAGAATTCCGTCATTCTGAAAAATCTAATTGGAAAGCTATTTGCTATTCACTCTTCCTTTGAAACCAACTACCTCATCTTTCCCTCTCTCTCTCTCTCTCCCTCTTTCTCTTTCTTTCTCTCTCCCTCTCTACATATATATATATACATTCTTCGTCAATATCAGTGTTGGAGAAGCTTTCATGCTCATATAACATTTCTGGTAATGGCATTTGTTGTCGGTATAGTTGGTTCCCATGCCAAACAAATCTCAGTGAAAAGATCAGACAAAGCATGTCAGTCAACTGGATTGTTAGCCTGTCCGCAATGATCCGGAGAGAATGCTATTCTAAACTTGAATCCGGATAGATGGTGATATAGTTTTCTAAGACTATCCATCTCAGGGATACTTTAATTAAATCTACGTTCTGAAGGCTTCGTTGTCATCGTTTAAGTTTGTTTCAGGAATTGGTTCTATGATTTTAAAACTCAGTTCTCTTGAAATTAGTTAATTTGCCAACAGTTTATTACTTTTTCTATAACATCTCCTCCTATAATTTCATTATTATACAGAAAGCAATAAAGCAAAAAAAAAAAAAAAAAAAACTTATTCTCTTCATGTACACCAAGTATACACACCAAACTTTGCATGCTATGTACACCAAACTTTGCATGCTGACGCAGCGGATATTCTACATATCGATCAAACGAGATTTCATCCCAAAAACTTTCTGCAAATAATAAAATATAATTTCTTTCTTGGTAATTTCAGCGACAGAGTGGGAAAAACTGTGATGTTTGGAGTATTAGAAAAACCGAATATGTCTCAACAAAATTGATTAATCCGTACCACTAAGATTGCCTTAATTGAATATCCTTTACAAATTTTAAAAATATAAAACCATAAACATTCCACATATATGTGCATTGTTTGCAATGCTACAGTTGTTAACAAAGTATATGCATTGCTTAATATGTTGAAAAGTGTTCCTTCGTTTTAAATGAAAGTTTAACTGTTACTGTGCAAAGAGTAAAGATCACCTGAAATACAGCTCTACTCACTGTAATCATGCGCTTATTGCAAGCCGCCAATGTCCAGTATATAAGAATTTCAACCCATTGTCCAAGTGTTTGAGGATCGCAAACTACAAAGTTATTATAACAACTTTTATTCTCAACTGCAAGTCACAACCAAGGAAAGTTCAAAGGTTCTTAATAGCACTTACAATTTCTCGACATGGAAAGGAGTACTAGTTTAATATGAGCTGCAAACATTTGAACATATCATATCATCGTGAAATTATTTACCATATACTTATTAACCTATCATGCTAACACACTGAAATATGGTACCAAAGCATTACTATTGGCTAATGGTTGTTCCAATTTCGATTCTCTTCCTTAGAACTGATAGAGTCAGCTTCAAATTTCTGTCATAGTTTCTGGAAGTATTGATATTCTGGTAAAGCAACATTGCCTTCTAAGACACAGCAACAACAAAATTGAGTCATTTCAAAAAAATTTCAACAAGGCTTTTAAATTTTTTCACATTATTTTGTCAGCACATAATTTTAGTTATACTATAAATTTACTGATCAGTCTATTATATTATTAACTAATAAAACAAAAACTGCATACTTGTTTATTATATTACGGATTTGTTCTGGACTGTTACCATATTAGGTTGAATGTGATATACGTCCCAAATATGTAGAACGCAGTTTTAAGTTCTTTCTACAAATGTTATTGGATGCTGATTGAACGGTCTCTGTGCATTTAGCTATATTGAACAATTACTGCTTGAAGTAGGAAAATGATAAGTTAGCAGGTGGGAAAATGTTATAGAATTGCAATTCTTTGTTGTTGAACTTTAATTTATTTATCGTTTATTATTACGAAGAAAATTCTTTAAGCTCAATGCAAATAAGGCAGGAAAAGGTGCATTTAGTAATTATATTTCATAGTCCAGTAACTAATATAAAGCATTCCTATACAGTATTGTGAATAGATAGAATCGACAATTGATGTGTGAATTTGCTTTTTTAAGGTAATTTGAGGATAATGTTGGATTAAAAAGTAATCACCTCGAAAGAAAGAGTTAAGAAGGATAAAGTAATGGATCTGTTCAATAGCTCTATTTCACTTTCCAGTCAAGCCAAAATAAATTGTAAATTTTGAAGTCCATTTTTTGAATCTAAGATCATCATTCATCCTCCAGACATGCGGTTGAACTCTAAATGCTTCAGCATCAACTTATGCCAGATTATTCAAAAGAAATATGGACTTTGTACGTCATGTCCACATCAACGCATTATTTTGTCTACGCTATTTTAATCAATTTTTTATTTGTAAGCTGTTTTTAATTGTTGAATTTGCATAAATCGACTTTTTAAGACAATTTTATGCATTGATTTACTTTCTGGCAATAATTGCAATAGAGAAACGTTTGTCACTACTACTGAGCAAGTGCTTAATCAATTCTGCAATATTGCTTACTTTAATAGCAACCATATTAAATGTGTAAAAATGACAGAAGCAGAAGAATCAAATGCATTTTTTTGGTATTATCCTAAAGAGAACTAAAAGTGAAATACGAAAATTTGCATATTACATGGAAAGGGTTGTTTCAATTTGGCTATCCTACATTCATTCATTGCTGCAATTTTCCTTAAATTATTTTCAACAGATTTCTCTCCAGGAGAATTCCTCATATTTTATCTCCAACTGAACCTAATCTATTGCTTTTTTCAACATCTGTCACCACAGATTGTTTAGAATGACACTAAAGGAAGAGTTTTATGCGCTTCCTGAATTGTCGCGAATTATAATTTCGCGAAAACTTCTAGCCAATTTCATAATATCATAAATCATCTCTCTTTTTTAAATTGTAAACAATCTTACGGTCTTCATACATGTCATTTTAATCTCCTTTTTGTAAACACCTCTAATTCTTCACACATGAAATTTTATGCAAATTAGAAATTAGCTTTCATTTTAATATCTTCTTTGTAAACACTTTAAATTCTTCACAAATGTGATTTTATCTTAGACACGCCCAATCCTCACTCATATAAATTCAATTCTAATAAACAAAACGATTCATTGTCATTATTGTCGACTACGATTCTGTTAACCAATCGCAATTTCTCCAGTCTTCTTTTTTGTTATAAATTCTCTTTTTTTATTGCTCAGTTTATTAATAATACGTTTTCGGAAAATAAAGGTTTATTAATCTTCCTACTGTATTGCAACTATTCGAATATCAACCAGGCAAACCTTTCACGACAAATATTTATTGGTGCCACGAGCCGGGGAAATGTCTAGCAGCATTATTGCGAGCTTTGAACTGGCAAAGGAAAGGTTGGTCAATCTTCTTAAAGAAATAAATCAACTGGAGATCAAATCTCCAGAACCAAGTATGACAATAGAAGAAAAAGAAGATTTTTATCTTCGAAGATAAACTTTGAAGAATCCAATTATGCGTACGCTTGAATCTATTAATGATAAATGGTTCACATATGCTCAACAAATCGTCACAATGAAAAGAAGAGAAGAAGAGGAGGAAAAATACAAAGCAGTAACAAAAAGTGACCAAGGAATATTTCAATTATTGCACGAAGGAAAGGAAGCGGTAATAACACTAACAATGCACATGGATGAAGTCGACCAAAACCTAAAACAACTCTCAAAGGAGTTGACAAACAAATAAGCAAAAGAAAAGGTAAAATTTACTCCTTCTTCAAATGTTAATGTAAATCTTCCTCATTTATCGCTCCCTACTTTCGAAGGAGACCCTAGACAATGGCAACAATTTTGGAGCAGTTTTAACGCAGCAGTCCACAAGCAAGCAATTCCAGAAATACAAAAACTGAATTACTTGTACTCATGTCTCAAAGGAAAAGCTCTACAAGCAATATCTGGATATGATATAGCTCCAGAGAATTATGAAGTCATCAGAAAACTGCTCAATGAAAAATATGGCGATCACTCAATAGTAACAACATTACTATACAACGAACTCCAATCAATTAAACGAAATGAAAGAGAATGGATTGGAACAATTGAAAATATAGAACGAGTACTGCGCCAGTTAGAAGCTCTAGGAGAAAGCCTTGAGCATTCAAATATTGAAATCTTGATCGAGAGCAAGTTGCCATTATGGATATTAAATAAAATATATAAACATAAGAAGAAGGACATGCCTTGGTCAATTCTCAAACTAAGAAACTTTTTAACAAGTTTAGTTAATGTGAATGAACAGATTAAAAACTGTCAACATTCACTCACTCAACTCAATATTAAATCTACAACTACCAAACAGGAACAAAAACAACGATACAATCCCGGAGGAACTTCAGCACTGTCGACAATAAAGGATAATCAAAATACTTCAAAAACTACAACAACAAAAAGACGACCATGTGTATTCTGCAATCAAGATCATTGGGACAGCGATTGCGTGAACTACACGACTCTCAATGCTCGACTTAGTCGTCTCAAAGTATTGAAGAAATGTACTATTTGTCTTAGAGACAGTCACAAAGGACAGAATTGTAATGTCAAAAAACAATGTTTTTATTGCAAAAGCTTACATAATAGTGCTTTATGTAATAAAAGGAATTCACTTTCTTTAAACAATACAATGTCTCAAAGAAATGAAGAGCATGAAAGAATTGGACCTTCGAAACGAAAGGACTGTTCAACTTCTCTCTACAACTCCACATTAACAACTCGATCCAAACAGACAAAGGAAACTTTACTTTTATGTAAGGAGATAAAGGTTTTTAATCCATCACAACCTCAACTACAACAAAATGCCCTTGCCTTATTTGATATTGGATCACAACTCTCCTTCATCTCCAAAAAATTATTACGTCAATTAAAGTTAACCGAAACAGAAACTCAAATTATGAGAATAGCTCCATTTGTATGAAAGAACCGAAATCATGTCCCACTGCTCGCATACAACTAAATGTGCTAACTACCGAAAGCGAAATCATACAACTACAAGCAAATATAATTGATTACCTAACAAACGAATTGCAGGTAGTGGAGACATCAAATGAATTTCAAATTCAAAATTTAACAAATTATTGGAAAAAACCTGACGTATTGATTGGAGCTGACTATTTTTTCAAATTTATTAGTCTACGAGAAATCAGGAAATTGAAATCAGGGCACATGTTGGTTCAATCAAAAGTTGGTCCAATGATTGCTGGAAGTGGAGATATTAAGAAACTTTGCAAGAACGAATTATATCCTAAAGAAATAGTATATTCTACAAACGTCAATATTAACACTGAGCTAGAAAATTTTGGAAATTAGAGACGATTGGTATCCAAGAATCACCTCGAGATGATGATGATGATCAAGCTTTAAAGCATTTCAAACGGACCATCATCAAGCAGGGTGGAGATATCAGGTTTGTTGGCCTTGGAAAGACTCCAAACAAAAATTAAGCAATAATTATGGATTATGTCTGGGACGATTGAAGAATTTGATCAACCCGCCTACAACATAATTCAAATCTCCATTCATATCATCAAATACTTATGGATCAACTACATTCAGAAAATCATGGTAGTGAATTGGCATGGGAGATAAGAAAAGAACTTATACGTAGAAAACGTTATTATATCAGCTAATGGAACAGAAGAGGCCTTATATAAATATGAAAGAACGGAAGAAATTTTTGGTGAAGCATCGATGAACATAAAAGAATTTCTTTCAAATGACGAAGAATTTAACAAAAGAATAGCTGAATGCGACCTAAGCCAAACAAACCAGGAAAATTTTCTTGGTCTTAAATGGAACCATGAAACGAGATATTATCCGTGACACTGAAACCATGGATAGGAAAAAGTTTAACAAAGAGGATTATCTTACAATTCATAGCCTCTCAATATAATCCATTGGGTTTTTCTCGTTCCTATAATGATCAAACTTAAATTATTCATACAACATTTATGGAAGGAAAATATTCCTTGGGACCAATCTTTAAACAAACAGGACGAAGCAAAAAAATTTTTTCTTTGATCAAAGAATGGCCAACAAATATAATAGAGCTGCCAAGATTTGTAATGGAAACTTCAAAATTAACAGAATTCCATATATTCTCTGACGCTTCGAAAAGTTGCCTATTCTGCAGCTGTTTATATTCTCAATCATGAATATCAAACACATATTCGAATTCATTCTTGATTTATGCTAAAATCTCGAATTGCTCCAATTAAAGGTATGTCAATTCCTAGACTTAAACTATTATCAGTACTAATTGAGTAAGAGCAAGTAATTCGTACTGAAACAATTAAATCTTGAAAATAATCAAGTTACTTTGTGGACAGATTCAAAATGTGTCTTTACTGGATCCAGAATTATACAAAGCTGCTTCCCAAATTTGTACAAATCGCATCGAAGAAATAAGGAAATCTAACTTCGAATTAAAATACATACAAGTGATCAAAATCCAGCAGATATAGCCCCCAAAGGAGTATCACCACTTAAACTCCAATACTGTAAACAATGGTGGAAACCTCGATGTTGGAACTCAAGAAATCTGAATGGCCAAAGTGTAAACTTCATTGTTCAGGAAACGATGAATTTGCAGAAGCTAGTGTTTTGAACTTGACAAAGATAACTCAAACTTTTAAAAAGGGTACAATTTATTGACGAATGTCGCTTCAGCAGTTGGACAAAACTAATTCGAGTAACTGCTTGGACTCTTCGATTTATCAAACAAACCTGCAAAAGAAAATTAGTGTGACCAAAAA